ATCCCCCTCTTGTTGCTATGACCGCCTCTGAGCATAAAGCTCCTTTGAACATTAATACGGCTTTGGCTGGCTGCCGGATGCAGCTTGCAGATAATCCAGATCCATTCCTGTAACACTGGGATTTTGGCTGCAGACGGTCCTCTTCGCCTGACAAACTTGCGAGCCGTCTTCCAGGCATGCAGTTGTTTTTCCACACCATTCTGAAATTAACGCAATGTTGCACACAACTTGCGCTCGTTTCCATCGATCATGTTTCACGTTAGTGCATTGTTCCTTGTGAATTGTTTTGATGGCCCCCCTTCAGGATATTGTCGACCATACACCTGGTGGCGTTTGCAGTTGCCACGCTTTTGCTACTCACAGCCAATGTGAGCATACAATTTTTGTAGACTCGCTGGCAATGTCCCATCGCGGTCCTCGGCTGAGCTTGCAATCTCTTCCAGCTGCAACCCGCAAACGTGGCCGCAAAGAAACGCCACAAGGCCATGTGCCCCCAAGAAAACAGAAAGCGGCAGCCAAACCGGCGACAGCCAAACCAGCGACCAAGAAGGTTCGCCGATCCTAGAAATGAATAGAAATGATCCTTTTGTGTCCGCGCTCTTCACCGCAGAGGAAAAGAGCTATCGCGATTCCTGTCAGTCTTCAGCTTTCTTGAATCACTTCCTTGGCGTGCATCTTGCGAAACCATGTCATACATTCGGCTACAAGTACCTGTATCGTTCAGCCAATGAGCCACATTAAACCAAATGACACAACATACTTGCAGATGTCGCTTTCCCCCGAAACCAAAACAACCCTAAAAGGCTTCAAGCATAAATCGCACCAGAACGCGACACGCACACGTAGCATGACATGTGCTAGTCATGAAAAAACTATAGTTTTCGCCGCGAAACAGCCGTGCCCATGAGCTTCTACCAATGTTTTCGAACAGCACAGACATAACTTCTTCGCCGTCCAGCGACCCTAGTGAACATCAATATCACAAGCCAAAGCAACATCTTAAAAAAAACCGGCAAATTTCCGCCTCCCAGCGTTATCCTTTACTACACTTTCTTGCAAAGTCCTTGACAAAAGCTTCTGTTCCATGTCCTTGTGCATCCCGCACGTGTTGTTGCTGATTCTTCTGTTATGTTGTTCTCATGTTTCTTGCTGTTCTTGCTGTTCTTGTTGTTCTTGCTGTTCTTGTTGTTCTTGCTGTTTTTGTTGTTGCTGTTGCTGTTGTTGTTGTTGTGGTGGTGGTGGTGGTTGTAGTTGTAGTTGTAGTTGTGCTTGTGCTTGTGATTGTTGTTGTTGTTGTTGCTGCTGTTGTTCTTGTTGTTCTTGTTGTTCTTGTTGTTCTTGTTATTCTTGTTGTTGTTGTGGTGGTGGTGGTGCTGGTGCTGGTGGTCTTAGATGTAGTGGTTTCCCTGCATTCCACTGCAAAGTGCGCTGAATCACTGTACTGCCAAACTGTGGTTTTGCCCACGGTGCAACTCTTATCTTGTCAGAAACAGTACGCTGATTGCTAGATTGCTACTCCACTACTTGGTTCCCTTGCAATGAAACTTGCGTTTTGGTGTTCTGTATTCTTTGGGTTTCTTTGCTTCGTTTCTTTTGTTTTTGGTTTGTCTTCGTTTTCCTTTTCCTTTTCTTTCTTTGTTTGTTCGTGTGTTTGTTTCTTTGTTTCTTTCTCGTTGTATCTATTTATCTCTCTCTCTCTCTTTTTCTCGCGTGCCTCGATCCGACGGATCCGGCGGGAATGAAAAACACTTTCCGCATCTGCACCTGTGTCCGTACATTGCGGGAACATAAAAAACTTTTCGAAGACAACGAAGCACCGACGGGAACAGAAAACCCTAAGCAGGGAACATTCCAACCCAAGGAGGGAGCAGGAAACACCCTACAGCAGGGAACAATAAACACCGGCATGGTACAAACAACACCAGGGAACGTAAAACACTTCCAGGGAAGAGAAGCCAACAGGGAACAGAAAACACCAATCAACAGAAAGCCTGCAGCCCCAAGGCAAAAGCGAGCATACCTGACAGGCTGAGTTCACTGGTAAAAGACTCATCGAGCGATGGATCCGCGGCCTCAAGGGTTTCGGAAATGCGGTTGCGTGGCAGTTGCTTGATGTACGTACAAGACCGCGAAATGAACGCATCCTGTGCATCTCCGACACCAGCTACATCAGACAGTACATCAGACGACGCAGTGGGATCATTGGCCTTGGGCACCGCCGTGGACACTGCAGCAACTGACCTGGACTCTTCTTCCTCAGAGTCATGGTCATCTTGTCCAGCTTGGGGCTGCATCATGCCCATCATAGGAGCCCCCATTGGAAGTCCCATCAGCATCATTTGAGGCACTATCTGTCCGGAAACATCGAAGGCATCATCCCCAACATGCTGTTGGCCGCAGCATCACGAACCTTCTTGTTGACCCTGTTCATCACCGACATGCTGCTGATTGCACACCAAGCGAGCACTACTACCTGCTACAACAGACTAGTGAGAAGACAAATGACTACGGTTATTCAATCACAAGTATAGCCACGCTGATCACTGCCATGCACGCCTGTCACAGAATGTTTTTACATTTTTTGCATTTTGCGAGATTTCTTGAGACAGTTCGAGATTTTTTGAGATACAGTATTTCGAGGTTTCTTGAGATTTTTTGAGCCCCTGCACCTTTCAATACTATTGTTGCCTTTACTTTTGACTTACCCCTCGAGATTTTTTGAGAGATTTCGAGATGTTTTGAGATATTCCGAGATTTTTTGAGATACTTCGAGATTTTTTTTTTTTCTGCTGTTTTAGTTTCGTTTTTTGTATTTGTTTAAATGGTTTCTTTTACCAATTCAGTTTTTTTTGCTCTCCTCCTTGCCCATTCACATGTCGGCATCCACTTGCACTGGCCTTTTTTCCTTGTTTCCATCCATCTGCCCGTGTGCTGAGGTTCTATTAACGCAGCGACATTCATGGTGAATTCACCACAGATCATCCTTTGTTTTTCATGTTACATTCGGACATGTAAATTCACAAAAATGGCATTTCACACCATCATGTGTGACCAAACGATTATCCAGATTCTCTGGAAAAAATCATAGACTCATCAAGCACAACATGTTCCATGGCTTCCATCAAACAAATAAAGTTTTTTTGTATGGCAAAACGGTTACATCGCTTCGAAACATCGCCTCCATCACCTGAGCCGAGGTAAGGGAATTGGAAAGACAGACAAAACAACTACAATACTAAATGTTAAAGCAATCAAACACAAAATTCAAAATTTAATTTAGATCATACAGCACATCCAATAAATGACAAAAACAAGTGACCCAAGGGGTGAAAACTTCTGAGGAGCAGACTATTACAACATAGACCACGCCGATGAACAGGTCGATGAACACCAAAAAGGTTACTTACAGGTATTACAGCAGATTACACAAAACGCTACAGCGCACAACAAGTTTGCTACAACAGACAACAGAAGGTGTGTAAAATTTGATTATGAAGGAATATCTAAATGACAATGACATGACAATTACAATTGTCTGAATTTAGTGGTGTACGCCCTGCCCCCCCTCAATGAACCTGCAATCACATATTTATGGACAACCGAACAATCAATAAATTTGTTCAAACTATCAACCCTCACAGGCTACATCAGACAAACAGTTGTTGATATGATGAACTTTGACCAGTTGCAGCACTCTTTGTTCATATGTTTTGCCACAATATGTCCAACATGTTTTCACGAGTTCTTATGTTACAAAACAAAACCCCTTGCAGATTTTGGCATTTTTTCATTTGTGTGCGTTTAAAACATTTTTTTCATGTTAAATCTCATAACGAGATTTTTTCTCATGTCATGAAAGTCCTCCTATGTAAGAACCCTCCGATACAGGGTATTAAAAAATCTCAGTGATCAAATATTGTAATAAGTGGCCTGGCTTTGATTTGTTTATTCACTAGCACTGTGTCCTTTGCACAGAGAAAGCGCATGAAGCAACATGAAGCAACAGGAAACAACACATTTGTTGCAAAATGACGATGCCCCCTATCCCCTTTCCCAACTTGCAGAGGATTTAAAGACGAACCAGGCAGTACGTGTTCTTGGTGCTTTCGAAAACATTTCCCAGGTTGAGCGTTGAAGCGAAAATCCGGAGGGGGAATTTATTATAGACAACAACAAACGAGCGGACAGAAGTTTCGATAATGAAACTATATGAAACTTGTAATGCAACAGGGTTTGACAGGCCCGAAGGGCGGGAAATATAGAGAACGAAGCCAGCAATGCAGAAGGTTGTTGAGAGGAAGGGGGAAGTTTGGACATATTTGGATGATAAACATAATGAAACCTGAATGTGACAGGTGGTGAAGAGAGTCAGCAGGATAAAATCCATAACAAAGAGCGTGATGGTGTGCACATTGTAGACGATTGCAGATGTATGTGCAGTAGATGTGAAGGGTTCCCGTTCTGGGTGGTTTGGTCGCCGTGGGAAACGTTGGTACCTGCAGTGACATCGGTCCAAGTATTGTTGGTCGGCATTCCCCAGTGTGATTCATGTTTGCTGGATGTGTTTGCAATTCAGTTAAGATTGATCCCCCTGAGATTGATAACGTCATGTAATTTCCAAGCCAATGTTTTAGGTAGATCCATGCGATAATTACTCAATCTGCATCAGAACTCACAGGGCGGACTTTAGTAAAGACTTGCACGTGAACTATTTGAAAGTCATTAAACAATAGTCATGGAGTATCATGACGTATCATGTATAGTAAGTAAGCCCAAACATGGAACAATGATTTATCACTGTTTCAGTGGTTAATCCCTCTCTCTTTCTGAAAAAACGATAATCACCATGTAAAATAATATATATATAGTCTAGTATTAAATCATAACATACATTAATATACAATAATTGTTAATCACATATATAATTATATAATATATACATGTACATATATCATATATATATATTATAAATGCAAGCCCAGGCCCCCAAGTCATCTCAGGTGGGACGTCGAGAAGGTCGCAGAGTCTGGCAACTTCGTTGCCTTGACGAAACCCGCTGGGATGTTTGTGGTCACCGATGAACGGGGCCTCTGGGAAGAGTCCTCCACGAATTTTATCCACGTGGCGCATAAAAGGTGCCTGCCCACGCCACGCTTGCGGAGGATGGGATGAGATGATAGGATGGGTTAGCCTCCAGTTTTTGATGGAACAAAATGGTGATTTTTTAGATGATTTACCAATCAATTAACAAGCAGTGATTTTCTATAGCTATGTTGAATTACCAAAGGGTAGCATACCATTTTACCCTCTGAATACGTAAATATCATGTACAAATGGCTCATTTTCCCTGGCTATGGTAAACTATCAGAAGGTAATGGAGTGTATATTACGATTGGTGGGATACTTGATGATACCATATACTGTTTTATCACTGCATCATACTTATTTTTGTGGGGTACTATTAAGGGGATGGACAACTATGGTTGGGATGTTGATTGGGATAATTGATGATCATTGGCGCAGCGCGGTAAACCAGTATATAATGAACCATCCTGTCATAATGAGATACAATAAACATCATCCCGTTTTAGGATGTTCCCAATAGTAAACCAACAATGGTTGATGGCATCGGGGGTTACAACACCACCTATGGAAGATTGGAATGGGGCCGGGGATTTGCGAAAGTTTGCTGTGAACAGAGGGATTAGCCAGGCTGAAGTGTCCCTTTTTCAATGAAATTTTCACTTGGCGATGCCATGGCAATCATGAACATGATAGGAAACCATGAGGATATGATGTCCTAGGGCAGTTTGAGCTGCCAGGGTGGAAATGCCAACGCGCTTTGAACCGCGGCAGCGTGGGATTTGTCATCGCCTGGATTCTCACACCAGTGGTGTGCAGATTTTCGGAAAGTCGTGGGCGGCTTTTAAGCATTTTGTGGGCCAAAACAGCTGCTCACTTTGAATCAGAAATGATTCCTGCATGTCAACTCAGACATACATCACATGTAATGTCCCACAAGACATCACAAGACCCAAGCTCTTTGTTACTTATCATTGTCCCAAAAACGGGGCATAAATCGAGCGAGAACTTGAAAGCACCTCTGAACACTTGTTAGAGACGTTCCTATGGTCATGCAACATAGCCACGGAAAATCAACGTAAACCCACAGTGTTTCAAGTTCCATAGGTAAAATCATGTAAAATCATCTGTAACTGGGCAATTTTCAATAACCATGTTAGATGACCAGAGGTTTTTTCCCATAGGAACCGCCTGTTCGCTGCGAACAGGTTCTCACCGAGTGCACAAAGAATACATCGCCTTGATCGATGGCCGATTGGGAGGTGAAGATGGACCTTTCTCCGGGGCAACTTGGACCATGTCAACCATGGATGAATCATGTCTGGTTGAAAAAAGGGCTAACGCTGGAACCTGAACCTGGCGATAGATTTAACGATAAGTTGTTGTTCTCCCCCCAAAAAAACCAGGAGTCGAGAAAAATCCGGGTTCACACTACTGAAGAGTGTCCGGATAATTCTGAGGGACTCCTAGAGGATCAACTTCCAGTGCGTCTTTGAAAATTCTGCTGCAGGTGATTGATGTGCCCATGAAAAAGATTCAGGACTCAGGGAAGGTCCTGTGACCAGCCTGGTCTGCAACAACCTGTCAGCATGGGAATATATGGGAATGGCCAGGACTTTGGACGCAGAGAGTTTGGCAGTGTGGCCTGTACCAAGGACCCACGGTTCTTCGAGGGGGTTTTAGATTGTTTTTTGTGGCTTTGTCCAAACGGAATAAATAATCATAGATCGTATTGTATGGCAATTTCCAAAGGAATAAAGCATATTATGGCTATCAGAGAATGGGTAAAGTAGCCATGAAAAGATCCATCAATATTCATCAATTGTGAAAAGGCCATTTGGTAAATCACAATCTGGTTGGTTGGTTGGAACATTTTTTATTTTTCCATATATTGGGAATAATAATCCCAACTGACTTTAATATTTTTCAGAGGGGTTGAATCTACCAACCAGCAATTGATGGTATAATCAGGATGATCCATGGCTTGTGGGACGTCATTCTGGCCATTTCCGCTAGGAGTTCACGGGGATGCCGGCCGTCACACGGTATACCGTCCTCAGGCGCGGAGCGACGCGGAGCGACGGAATGGCCTTCCAAATGGGGCGGTTGGGGACAGTAAGGTTCGTGTTTCTTTGATGGGATTTAATATAATTGAACACGATTGAACTAATCGGATATTATGGAATATATATATATATAGATGAATATTATATGTATATACATACATGTATTTAAGCAACCGCAACTATTTGAGTGTGTCTAAAAAAGGGGGTGTCCAATGTTTATTTTTATGGGAACATGATGATTCACCGATGGGCTATTTGACGATTAGAGGACTTGGATGGAAAACGGCCCAGCTTTGCAACATTTTATAACTTCACTACCCACTTGTATATACACATCAAAAACACTCTTTGCATTCTCCCCGCATTTCGCACAAAATGGATCTCAGAACTCACTAGTTGATCCAGTTGTTTTCGTCGCCATGGCCAAGATCGCGAGGCATTATCGAGTACCTGCAACTGGCCGTTTAGCCTGTTGGGGTCAAGATCGCTGGTTCACACTGGTGCAGCTGAGAATTCTCACAGGAGTCAACTCGGATGTTGGAATGGGATGGATGGACTGGATTTGAGAGTTGCGACAGGGCTTTGACTGAAACAAATAGCCATTTTGATGAGAACGATGATAAACCAATGGATTTTGGGGAGCTGCGGCTATACTATTTTCACGCCCAGAAGTTGGCAGAACATACCAAGTTTTGCTGGTGAAGCTGCATCAAGTAGTGCTCTCCACAGACATCATCTGGTAGATTTTCCAGAAAAGCGACACACCAAAATGACCACTTTTCATGATGATAGACTTCTGGATATTGAGCTACGCCATTTTCCGACACATGCCAAACGATGTCTAGATGTCTTTGCCTTAGCCTCAAAGGTCGTTGGAAGCATTGACTGACAACCGACAACTAAGCTGTGAGCCTTTGCCATAATCATGTTGAGCCAGATTAGCCCAGTGTTATTAACATGGTATATAGATTATGGGAACAGGAGAAAAACCATGCCCCATCGGAAGTGGTTTACAGTATGTTCTATGTAAATTCAATTCAATCCCCCCAGTTCCCAGATTCCATGGGGTGGCAGGACGCACGCATCAAATTCGTTTACATATGGCCTTCCTTGGCCACCCGCTGCTTGACTTTCTGAGTCGTCGCTTTGTATCTAGTGTGATACCACCAGATGGAGATATATCATGGGATATCTATCGATATATATATATATATTTGGTTTTAAAGGATGGATAGATAAATAGATAGAGAGATGGATGGATGGATGGATGGATGGATGGATGGATGGATGGATGGATAGATTTCAAACGTATGATATTTGGGTCATTTTGGGTCTGTCTGAAAATGGTTGCGGCTCCCCAATAATGGCCATTCAATAAGGACAATTGTGATCAACCAGTGGAAGTCAAAAACTTTCCACCAGCTGTCTCATTTATCCCTAAACTTCAACCATGCTCAGTCCAGAGCAGAGCTAGTACGCTTTGGTCAAACATGGCTAGCTGGGACACTCCCTATAAATTTTTATAGCTGGACAAGTCATCGAACTTTAGCTCGGCGATTCGCGGTACGCGGAAGTCCATGTTTGATTCCTCCGGGACTGCGGTGTGCGTTGCCGAAAAAAACCAGGTTGGTTGGGGACATGAAGTACAATCCTGATCGCTTTGAGCACGATTGCGCATTGGTTCCTCGCATTTTTCTACACTGCCTGAGAATGGAGTTCCAGGACGGCTGGGCGAAAGCGGAGATTTGATGGGCTTTGTCCAAACATGTGGGTGAATTCGTGCCCCAAATGCAGTGGCTGTACCTAATCATGCTACACCCCATGCCATGATATTCCCCCAAATTTTGATCACAATTGGCAGCCATAGCCATAGCATGCTATAGCCTACCAGGCAGGTTTCGGAGGATTTCTTTCCGCTGAGGACATGGATGGAGACAACTTTACCGCCGCCAGCGTCTTGGCCAAGCTCCTGACAGCATCATTTGTAGACGGTAAGATGATGAGAATGTGGGTTTATATGGAGATATATGTTGGATATTGGCCACCAAAAAAGCTGTATCATTCTGCATTTGAGCCATTTAAAATACCCTGGTGCATTGATTGCTATAGGGGATTATACTACCTGGTTTACTGGGGATTATGATAACCCATAGTAGGGAAACCTATCAACCAACTAGTATAATGAGATGGGATAGGGATAGGCTAGGTGTATTTTTAATGGCTCATGTGTTAAAGATCATATGTTAAACTAACATTTTAGCATTGAGGAATTTGAGAGCTACATTTTAGGTATGCTAAACATGTCAACATAGTTGTGGCATGTTGTGGCATCCAATCACTTTGACCCGAAGAGGCCCTTAAGACCACTTTGGCCAGGTTCAGAGTTCCGATGGGTTCCGATGAGTTCCGTACAACTCGGACATGTTGTGGTCACATCATGATATACCTGGTGTTTTTTTTTGGAGACCGGATGGCAAGTGCCTTCCCGTTTTTCAAGGTGACTTGGCGCCCGATTTGCAGATGGTCCTCTGTGAGCTGCATCGATTATCGGGCTCTGAGGAGTTCCAAGGGGGGGTTCCATGGAGATACCCCAAGAGCTGGATGATTTTTCATGGAAAATCACCATATTTTAGGATGGAAACCCCATGGAAATCAGTTGTTTAAGGCTCAACTTGATATATCTCAGCCTGTGAAAGGAAATCAGTGACCCATTTTTTATGGAAGCTGAAGATCATCTCAAAACATGTTCCGATGAAACATCAGTGCCAGTTGTCAGCCAGGAGGATTTCAAGGGAGAGCTGTTCCCAGGCCCGTGGCTTCCCCAATTAAAACGTCCATATATTGGCACATCCCCATTCCGAGACGAACCCGCATCATAGTTTTGGCTATTAATATATATATATAATATACATATAATTATATAATATTATATATATACACATACAGTCAAGATATATCCCCATGTTATTCCCATGATATTGCGTATTCTCAGGCCGTCATATCTTGCCTGTGGATGTTGTGAGGCCTGGCAAAGATCCTGCAGAAAAGCAAAGCGCCGGTGGAAAAACTCACCGCGCAAGAGGTCTTGGGGATGTAGTGGGGATAGATTCATCATATATTGACATATGTGTGTGTGTGTGCGTGTATGTATATATATATACATAAATTATAGTGTATACTTTATATATATATACTGTGTATATATATATATATGTATCATATGTTTTTATCTCATATGTATATATTTCATATATATATATATCATATGTATATATTATATACATACATATGTCTTATATTTGTGAACAATAGCGTATGATGTGGACACCGTGTGTGAGGATTTAACCATTTTGGTGAGATATGGGGATGGAATAGGTCGACGGATTCTAAGCTGTGAAGTTCTGTAGATTTTGGAAGTGGATCTCACCATGTGTCAAGATGTTTTTGGGAAGGTTGCATGAACTTTGACATGTCACTGGCAAATTCTCAGATCCCAACAGCGTTTCTACGGCCAGCGCAGGAGGTGAAAACTCTGCGCTTTTGCAAGCTTTGCAAGGAACAGGAGGTGCCAAATTGGCATATGTTGGAGCTAAGGAGATTGGACAAATAAACACCTAGAGGACTTCTACCCAGAAGAGCTCATTTAGATTTAGGACTAACATTTAGAGAATGGTTCTTGTAATGTATGTTCCATCGGATCTTCTTTTTGGCCTACTTCTAGAATGATATGAGTGCTATCTTGACCACTGAACTAGTAGAAACTGATGGGCCACTGGTCCTTTTGACTCATCACCGACCACTGAGACTTCCAGGTGGCTCAGCGTCGGCAAGTCCAAGATCAACGCGCCGAAGAGCGGCGCGCCATGTATTGGTGCATGATGCCGGCAGAGGGTGCGGCCCTGTGCCGTGTTTCGGGGAACTTGATGCCATGAATGAGGGAATTACATGGAATTACTGGGATAGGAAAGGGATATAAATGGAATATAGATGGGATACAGAATGATATGGATATAAAGGATATGTTATATAGTTATATATATATATTGTAGATACGACTATCCCCCCAGAAAAATATGATAACACAGCATTGATCCTTTGTGGAAAGTGATGCCGTTGAATTCATCTGGCTCCAAGGGCAACCTGACACTATGGATGGGACAACATGGGATATCGTGGGATATCATAGGGGGATAATCAGGATATCATGGGGTACAAAAACAGGATATAATCGGCTATAGTGAGAATAACTTTGGGATATGATGGTGACATCATTGGATATATATATATATAACCAAGAAAATGATGGGGTTCACCAAAACTTGGGGATGCAGAATATATATTTTAATGTACAGGAGAGTTGAAGTACAGGAGGGTTGAATGTTGCTCGACTTGATAAAATTTTATTTCTACTGCCTTGTGATGTTTGGTGGATGTGATATGATGTGATGAATCAAGCAACTTTGGACATTTCACTACATGCGCACTTCATCACACTGCTTTTTCAATGCGTGCAGGTGTGAACCTCGATGAAATCTCAAAGGAGCCACAGAATTGGGGACCGGAAATGCTTTGGGCAGCTCGTCTCCACACGAAAACTTTGCAGGCATTGGTAGGGACTTACCAAATCAGAATTTGCTAGAAATATCCATCCAATTGCTCGGGAATACTGGGGAATATCCATCCAATTGTTCGGTTAATATAAGATACCCTTTCAAAATGATTGTAGCCGATTGAGAACCTGAATCCTGTCGAATATTATTTGAGGTCCCGACTGAACTCCAATAATTTAAATTAAATATTAGGATTTCCAAACAAAATTAACTGATTTTTTTTTTAATATATATATATATATTAATATAATAATCTAGGAAAAAAAATATTATAAAAAATAAAAAATGTAATAATATTTGGCTATATTTAACAATACTCCTTAATATAATAATTATTTTAAAAAAATAATTTAAAATTTATTTCTATATATATATATTTATAATAAATATTTGTATATTAAAATAAATAATGGAATAATTATTAATTAGATTATTCTTTGAATTAAATATTTAGATAATTTAAATTGAATTTAATATATTTTATCAGGTTTTTTTCGATATATTTTCTGAAATAGTGTATGTATATTGAAGGGTTTTTACGGTAAATATAAAGGTCGGTATTTAATTGGGATATTTTAGTTGGGACGTTGTATTTTACCTGTAATTTTTTATAATTATAAAATTAATTTTGCGAAATATTTAAATATATTTTAATTATATATTTGTTTTAATATTATTAATTTTAATATTATTAATTTTAATATTATTAATTTTTATTCCCCACCTGCCAGGTGAGGGTTGTTAGATTTTATGTCAGTTGCCTCCTCCTCCTCCTGTTCCTCCTCCTGCTCCTCCTCCTGCTCCTCCTCCTCCTCTCCTCCTCCTCCTCGTCCTCCTCGTCCTCCTCGTCGTCCTCGTCGTCCTCGTCGTCCTTGCTCAACTGCGACCCGCGATCCACAGTGTTCGCTGCCGGACCTCAACCACGACCATCCACGCCCAGTGTTCCCTGCCGGACCTCAACCACGACCATCCGCGCCCAGTGTTCCCTGCCGGACCTCAACCGCGACCATCCGCGCCCAGTGTTCCCTGCCGGACCTCAACCACGACCATCCTCGCCCAGTGTTCCCTGCCGGACCTCAACCGCGACCATCCGCGCCCAGTGTTCCCTGCCGGACCTCATGTAGGAATGTCAGATAGACTGCCAGATAGAATGCCAGATAGAATGTCAGATAGGATGCCAGATAGAATGCCAGATAGAATGCCAGAAAGAATGCCAGAAAGAATGTCAGATAGAATGCCAGATAGAATGTCAGATAGGATGCCAGATAGAATGCTAGATAGAATGCCAGAAAGAATGCCAGAATATATGTCAGAATAAATGACAGGTAGAATGCCAGAATATATGTCAGATGAAATGTCAGAAAATATGTCAGATAGAATGCCAGATAGACTGCTAGATAGAATGCCAGGTGGAATGTCAGGATATATGCCAGATAGAATGCCAGAATATATGCCAGAATATATGTCAGATAGGATGTCAGAATATACTAAATATATGTCCAAATATACGTCCTGACATGTCATGGTGGGGATCACACGAAGTAGAGTAATTTTATTTTTTATAATATTAATATTATAATATATTTAATTATATATATAAATATAATTTTGAAGGATTTTCCTTGGATAAATTATTATTTTAGGAATATCGAAAAATATTTGGTATCCTTGAAAAAATAAAAATAAATATTTAATGGTATTAAATTAATTTAATAATTAATAAAAATTATTAGGGGTTAATGTTAATTAATT